ATGTGTGAAGAGAGAGATTCCCATCCTTTAATATCTCCATATATTTTTATACAAAATGTTTATAAAGAGAATGTTAATATCATGTTTGTATTATCTGTACTGACGTAGGATCGATATTCTTATAACGATAAATATTTACGCGCGAGATTTATTATCGTAGATTTTTTTAAAATAAGAGTTATTAACTTAGAAGTTATATAATTATTATATTAGGATTATATTATGTTTCATGTTAATGAAATTATCTAAAATTTTAAAATTACATATTTAATGGAATTATCTAAAATTAAAATTACATATTTAATGGAATTATCTAAAATTAAAATTATATATTTAATCGAATTATCTGAAATTAAAATTATGTAAAAAAAATGAGAAAATTTCAAATTTGACAGGCACGATTGCAAATTTTATTGCACTTTTATTATTTTTTATTATAATATAATATTAAAGAGTCATATTCTTGAATAGTTGAACATTTCTCAATCGACATATTTTTCCAAGAATACGTAATAACGTCGCTTTAGAAAATAACATAGGTTTTCATTCGTGGCCGAACGTTCGAAAGCGTAACAGAGATGTTTACGGAATATGAATCCTCTTCATTCGTCTCGTTTCTTTAACTTGCTCCGCGGACTTCTCTCATCTTCGCGTGCTATTGTTTACACACAAAACAACTGCCAAGTTCATCGCGTGTTTATACTTGTTTCAAGGAAATATTAAGCATTATAGCGGCCACTTATTCTCGAATCGCATCTCATCATTTTCCGTTTTCTCAAGAAATTACAGATACAAAAATGTGGAGTTGTTGTTTATCATTCACGTGGATATAAAAAAAAAAAGAAATAATTCTACGTAAATCAATATTTCCAAGATCCGCGATATTTATCGCTCGATCGTAAATATTTGTTCGAAAAGCTAGATTAAAAAAAAAAATGTGCGCATTTTTATCGCTTCTTGTATGGGAATATATTCGCGCTAGTTCGAATCGAGCTTGTATACAATTCCGGACGAGAATCCCCGCCACGAATAGACGACAAATCGAGAGAAATTCCGACGATCCCACTCGCAGCCTGGTCGATTCCGGCTTTATACGGCTCGGTCGCCGCTTCTCTCGCCGTCGTGTCACCATCGCTATAGACGTTATACTCTCCCGCTCGCTCTCCGTGTCTTCTTAACTCGGCGTAGCATGAAAATAGCCCAGCGTACTTGGAATATCGCGTGGCCTACGCGCTAAGCATGCTAAAACGGCGTCGTAGTTGGAGCAACAGACGCGTGTATGCGAGCGATTACACAAACGAATGCGGCTAACGATGCCTCGCTACCAGGGAATATTATTATGTGTACACAGGGCGTTTCTTAATAAGCGTGAAAAATTTTCAGAGATGATCCTTTGTCGAAAATTAAGAGGGTTTTTCTTAACATTATGCTACATCTCGCCCTGTATAGAAAAGAGAATAGGTGTCAAATCAAAAATTATATACTTAAACTAACGCGTTTAATTAACTTTTATTGTTTCGTATATAAGCAACGAATTATAATCTTTTTAGAAGAATTTAATAAGTTTAAATTTCAATAATATGATAAAGATAGATTTAATTTTCTTGAATGGAAAAGAAACAATGTTGGATGGAAAATAACATTTTTAAATCAAAGATTATAATTTTCTCAAAGTGGAATTAAATAATTATATATTCTTGAGATGACAATTACAATATTAAAATACTATATTATAGTCTGATAATTCGATATTACACAGAAAAAAATAAGTGTCAAATCAAAAATTATATACTTAAACTAACGCGTTTAATTAACTTTTATTGTTTCCTATATAAGCAACGAATTATAATCTTTTTAGAAGAATTTAATAATTTTAAATTTCAATAATATTATAAAGATAGAAGATTTAATTTTCTTGAATGGAAAAGAAACAATGTTGAATGAAAAATAACATTTTTAAATCAAAGATTATAATTTTCTCAAAGTGGAATTAAATAATTATATATTCTTGAGATGACAATTATAATATTAAAATAAGACTATATTATAGTCTGATAATTCGATATTACACAGAAAAAAATAAGTGTCAAATCAAAACTTTATACTTAAACTAACGCGTTCATTGTTTCATATATACGCAATAATTTATAATCTTCTTAGAAGAATTTAACAATTTTAAATTTCAATAATATTATAATCTTATTTTAATATTGTAATTGTCGTCTCAAAAATATATAATTATTTAATTGTACTTTAAGAAAATTATAATCTTTGATTTAAAAATGTTATTTTCTATCCAACATTGTTTCTTTTACATTCAAGAAAATTAAATCTTAAATCATAAGAATATATTTTTCTTGATTCAACTATATAAAATGGCTTCATTCAACTAAGCAATTATATTTTTCTTTAATTAACGTAATATATAATTTCATTTCAAGATTTCTATGTTAAAACTAAAGATATTTTCAAAACAAAAGTGTCCTTTAACTCTTTTTCTTTCTAGAAAATATCCACCTAATTGCATGTCTTTAACTTGTTGTTCCAAATTTGATAAAAAAATAAAAATCTAATTTTCACCTCTATTTTTGGAGGAGTGCAACACAGGCAAGGATGTAAGAATATATGTTTATATGAAAATCCCCCCTTAATTTTCAACAATGAATCATCTCCTAAAATTTTTCGTATTTATTAAGAAACACCCTGTATATATTCGCCTATTTAAATATGATATTGATATTTTTTACGTCGAGTTTGGATAAAAAAAGTTTCCCATTCTAATAAATAAAATTGCGAGATATAAATAAATAAATTCTATAGTTACGTATCTCTTTAAAAATAAATTGTTTAACGACCTGGATTTATTTATTTTATATTTGTATTTGAGCAACTGTTTATTAACTCTTTGACTTTTTATTTTTAATTTATATTTTTAACTTTTTATTTTTAATTTTTATTTTTAATTTATATCTAAAGTTATATTTGTAAATAAAAATATTTTATTTACATTATATTTGTATAAATAAAAAAAGTAGTCAACATCAGTGATGAAAAATAATAAAGTATCAGGAGGGAATCTCCACAAGATTAAGAATAGAGAGAGGAAAAAGATATTTCATCTGTCATTGCATCTTAGAAATTACATTTCCGTCAAAAATCTTTTCCCTTTACATCGATCTTGGTTTTGTTTTCCAAAGCGACTTGGACAATCTCTACTCGTTCTGCAACTTTGGTATCTACCTTTCGAGGTTCACATGTACTTGTTTGACCAGAGATAATCCAAAACGATATTGCGAGAATCTGCGATTAATTATATATATATATATATATATATATATATATATATATATATATATATCCTGCGAATTTATGGCCTTAACGTATTCGATCTCGCGTTAATTTTTCGCGATGAAAGCAACCTTTTGGAATTGCTCTTTTTCAATTAAACTTTCATTCATCGAGTGAAACTTCAGCAACTTCAAATAGAAAATATGTGGTTGCAAGAATGCAACAAATGCAAAACTGCATAATGATTTCCGCTGCCTCTCCTAATTCATTTGTATTGATTTATTCCGCGCCTCGGATTTTCACTCCTTAAACGAGCAATTACAATATATGCAACACGGAACATTGTTGTAACATTACAACAATATTACAACAATGTTTCATACTGCATAAATGCGCGGAGTTAATTATAAAATATAACATCAATTATGAACGACACATTACATTAGAAAAAAAAATAATAATAATAACAATAATAATAATGAGTGTAGAGGAATAAATAAAAATAATGAAATAGGAATAAAAAAGGAAGGAAATGAAAAAGAGAAGCGACAGGAGCTTTCAGACATTTAAAGTTCATCCTGCTATTATTAGAGGATTTTTTTTTTTTAAGCAAAACTCGTTTTTATAGATCGGGCGAAAATACATCCCGTACGTTCATTTTGGCGAGTTAAAAATAAAGCACGGCCGCAGGCTTATAAATAAAATTGTATTAGACACTCAAGGATGGGAACCCGTTAGTCTCAGCGACGATAATGTCAAACGATTGGCACTGTCGCTCCATTCTCCTTTTCTCCTTTTATTGGAAAGCAAGCTCGGCGCGATAAAAAGAAAAAAAAACCCCTTTTCAAGCGAAAAAAAGCATCGTTTTATACATTTTACACGCGAAGGCCGAAATTACTATCGCGTACGCGATCCGCTCGCACGCGGTCCGGTTTGTAAAAAGGAGGAAGAAGACGGGGGAGGGGAGGAGGGGGACCAGCAGGGGCGCCAGCGATGCTGACGCGAAGGCATCGACATAAACGACCGCGGGCATCCCTCGTAAATTTTTACAACGCCGTTTCACAATGTACAAAACTGGTCAGAGAAGAATCCAATCTTCCTCTCTCTCTCTCCCTCCCTCCCTCCCTCCCTTCCTCTTCTCCGTCTCACGATCTCGCTCAACTTTCCGAGTATCGTGAAAATACGTCGGTGTCGGGGCGACGAGGTCGCGGGGAGGGAAGGGAGCGACCGAAAAAGGAGAACGAAGCGCCCAGAGAGAGAGAGAGAGAGAGAGAGAGAGAGAGAGAGAGAGAGAGAGAGATAGATAGAGAGAGAGAGAGAGGGAGAGAGAGATAGATAGATAGATAGAGAGATAGAGAGAGAGAGAGAGAGAGAGAGAGAGAGAGAGAGAGAGAGAGAGAGAGAGAGAGAGAGAGAGAGAGAGAGAGGAACGAAGTGGCGAACTTGAAGCCGAGAGACGAGATCGGAGAGCGCTCCTACAATACGAGAGAGAGAGAAAGAGAGAGAGAGAGAGGGAAAGAGAGATGCAAAAAAAAGAGAAGGAGAGACAGAAGCACTGTTGTCGCATCATATCTCGCGAGTATACGGGGTCACGCAGGGAAAGAGGGACAAACATACCGCGAGCGGAGAGTGGTAGCGGGGAGGGGAGGCCGCGGGAAAGGCGAGGAGGAAGAGGAGGAGGAGGGCGGGCGGGGGGGAGACTCATGGTTCACCTGTCGTCATGGCAACGCCGCTTCGCCGCTCACTTGTTACTCCATCGGCATAGCTCGGTCCTCTCGCAGCCTCCGCAGGAATACGAACGCGAGTCACGATCCATCGCGTGGGACAGAGAGAGAGAGAGAAGGAGAGAGAGAGCGGGGACGACGACGCCTCCTCTCGCTCTCTCTCGAGGATTCTCTCGCCGGCGAATTCTCTCCTTTTCCGACGACGATGACGACGCGGGGCGGAGGAGATGAAAAAAGAGAGAGAGAATCAAGTTGCGCGATACCGCCTCGCTCGCGTCTCACCACCACACGTGCACCATAGAGAGATTATCACGCACAGACACGCACAGACACCACCGCGAGAGATGTATATATATTTATATACGTACAAACACTCTCGGTCCTCCCGTTCACCCGCGAGGAAGCGTAGAATTGAAACGTATCACAGAAACAACGCGCGAGAAGACGGGGAAGAAGCGGGCGACGCATTCACCCCCTCCCCCCTCCTCAACCGGTCCCCCCGCCGCGCACTTAAGCCCGAGTCACTCTTCTATTTTAAGAACTCCACGCTTGCCTCGTCGTATCCTCTCCCTCCTTCCTGGCGACGATCGCACAATTCACACGCACGAGGAGAGAAAGAGAGAGAGAGAGCACCCGACTTCTCTCCTCTCCTCGTTATCCACTTCCTTGAGATGACTTGAGTTTGCTATGCGAATCGCGGCCGATCGGAACCGGTGCCGACGACGACGGCGACGGCCAGGGCGAGTGACAGCTCCGAGAACGCACGGTGAGTATCCCTCGCTAACGCACTCGATCGCGCGCGATTAGTCATTGCCCGAGCGACATGCGAGAGCGTAATCGGCCAGCGCGATTCCAGCGGGATCTCTCCTTCGCCCCCCACCGTAGTCGAGCTACACCGCGACTACCGCGTGGTCGCCACCACTACCGTCATCGCGCGCCACTATCATCGTCGGTGAGACGCGTGAACGCACCGCGGCGAGAAACTCCGACCGCGAATTCCCCCGCCTCACTCGGCCGGTGACGTCATTGGCGCCTAAACGCCAAGTCGCCGCCAGCGAGGCACCCGTCTCTCCCCCCTCCCCCCCCCCCCGGTTCGATCTATCCGACCTCGTTCCTGCCGATCGGCTCCTCCGAACAGGAGAGACGGTTCACGTCTTGACGTCTACCTCGTGGCCACTCGTCTCATTCATCGAGGACCGCGTCGACACGATCTTCCTTTCATCGAGCCTCGATTGACACCTCCAGCAGAACGTATTGACTGATTAAATCGATCTGTGTCCAGCAATCATCCAGACCTGACCTTCCTCGCTGATCGACACCTCCAGCAGTTGCGATGAAATCGACCTGTGCCCAGGGTAACCAGCAAGCTCCGGTTAACCAGGAGTCCTGTTTCGAGTCGAATTTCCGGATTTCCTCGATCTCTCCTCGAGTTTTTCTCCTGGCGAGACAGCCTTCCCGCGTCGATCGGGATTCCTCACTTGGCGCGTCTACCTTTCCCTCGTTTCCTCTGGATCGCGCTCGATAAACTCATCGGGGCTTCCTCGACCTCGGGGGGCTCACTCGAGGGGGGGGTGAATCCGCGATCTATCGCTCACGATCCCTCCCTCCCGCTTCGTTATCAACAAGTGATTTCCCCGCGAACGCCAACGCTTCGACGCACCATACGATCCACGGTGTCGCGTTGCGGTGTCGCACGCCGCACGACGCTACACAACCTCCTCACGGCGTTGTTATTGTTGCGTAACTGGCGGGTCCCGTGTAGCTGGCTGGCTCTCCGGCCGCGCCACGAGACAGAGCGTATGGAGTAGTGGCGCGGGTAAGGGTGGGGAGTGGAGCGGAGCGCGCGGGGTGGGGGGGCGAGCGAGCGAGCGAGCGAAGGCAGCCCCGTGGGTGAGCCAGTGGGCGAATACGCAACGAGAGAGAGAAAGAGAGAGATGGAGGGAGGGAGGGAGGGAGAGATCGGGTGCGAGCGGTGCGCCGTCTGGCGTAGCAGGCGACAGTCTGCTGCCTTCCGAGAACCACGAGGCGATTCCGTGTATCGAACGCGCACCGAGGGACGTCGACGAATGGAGATGAGTGGGTAGGGGGTGGCGGGGAGGGGGGAGATCGGCGCGCGATCCTGGAGGGGAGCGCGAGGGAGGGGGGAGGACGGGGCGAGCGACACGAGAAAGCTCGAGCGACGAGTGAGAGAGAGAGGGGGATCCCTCGGGAGCGAGAGAGACGGGGTGATCAGACACGAGGCTCTCCTCAGGGACGCGGATACGCTCTCTTACGTTTGCGTGAGGAGGGGGAGGAGGAGAATCGGCTCGCTACCACGTCATATTGAGAGACGATAATGAGGGTTTTAACCGTGGCCTTGCTATCGCCGACTGCGACGTCGCGAAATGGAAAATCTGCCGCGAAATTATGCGAGACCCGCGAGACCCTGGCTTACGTCAGGTTTACGCGACGTTTCTTTCTTCCCTCCCCTGGTCGCTTATCGAGTCCGAGCGAGGAATAACAGGCCGTGTAACGCGAATCGCTGATCGAAATGGATTGCTTGGATAGATCGACGTACGCGATGGATGATTAGAAAGAAAGAGGAGGGAGGAGGGGGCTTTTTAGAGAGACGTTTTCAACCGTTCGCCACCCAAACAAAAGGATATAAATAAAATTGTAAATACAAGAGGCTCTTCCTCTCACATTCTGAGAAAAATACAACAAAAATGTCGGGGATATATATCTTGGTGATTATCTATCTTATCTATTCCATATCGCCAGAAGCAGGTCAGAATAGACGGGGATATCTTTTCCGTTCATCTTTTTTGCCATCATCTCAGTCATGTTTCATTATCCCCGAAACTCCTCTACCGAGAAGGGATCCCACTGTTATCTGCCAGATATTTGCGATCTTCTCACACGTGTGCCAGTTCCGGAAGGACGGCTGGCCTTCAGGGAATTGACCTCGGGTATCTTTTGAAAATCTTTTCGAGGAAAAATATACCGAAAAAGGATTAGCGTAATTTTTGAAAATAATTTCTTCCAAGAATTCTCTATATCTCGGAAATTTCGATTTTTACAATAATCCTTTGGACAATCAACTTGTAACGATTTTACCGATTTTAGAAATATAAAAGATCCTTCAAAGTTGCTTGTTTTGAAGGGAAACCTTTACTTCTTCACAAATCTGTATCTTTTAATAACATCTAATCTTGTCCAAAAAAAAAAAGATACACTTAAATTTAGAATTAAATTAATTAAAATACATTATGTATCTACGCGATTGTTTGTTTTGAAGGGAAATCTTTATTTATTTACAAATCTGTATCTTTTAATAACATATAATCTTATCAAAAAAAAAAAAAACTTAAATTTAGAATTAAAAAAAAATAAAAACTGTTAAATTTAGAATTAAATTAATTCAAATACATTACGTATCTACGATTGTTTGTTTTGAAGGGAAACCTTTACTTATTGTTTTGAAGGGGAACTTTTACTTATTCACAAATCTGTATCTTTTAATAACATCTAATCTTGTCAAAAAAAAACTGTTAAATTTATAATTAAAAAAAAAAAATAAAAACTGTTAAATTTAGAATTAAATTAATTAAAATACATTACGTATTTACGCGATTGTTTGTTTTGAAGGGAAACCTTTACTTATTCACAAATCTGTATCTTTTAATAACATCTAATCTTGTCAAAAAAAAAAAATACACTGTTAAATTTAGAATTAAATTAAAATGAATTAATTAAAAATTAAAATACATTAATTAAAATACATACGTATCTACGCGATTATCTTGATTCTATTCCGTCAGCATCTAACGGTATTCGTGTCGTAAAATTATTCGGCAACGTATATTATCCGAATGAATTTTCGCTCGATCTTTCTTGCAATTAACGGTTAATATGGTAGGCGATTTATCATTCGAGGACAATCGGGCGGATAATTAACGATTTCATTGCACGGAGCACGAAAGAGCCCCCGTCACACATCGCGAACGTTGGCCGATCGTATCTGAAACGCAACACGCACAATTGCGATCGTGGGCGATCAACTACGTAATCTCGCAGTATGCAACAAGTTACTTTCATTAATTGGACGTGGCAAGAAAACAGCGAGTATCGATGTAAAGTAAACCCACCTGCTTTCACGCTCTCGGATATTCACGTAACGCGTATATGCCCCTAATAACGAATTAATGACGAACAAATTGTCACGTGAAAAAAAACACGCGCGTGAGAAAAGTCCCGTACAGCGCGGAATATTACTGTTATACAGGGTGATTCATTTTAATCTTAACAGGCAAATATTTTGAAAAATATGCGAGATACGAAAAAATGTTTCAGACGAAAGTTATATGGTTTTAAAGGAGACGTAAGATGATGTCATTAATTTGATCGTAAATAGTTACTTGAAGATCGCGTGAAGGTCACCCTCAATTTTTTAAATGGAACCTACTCTTTCTCATTACATATTCTTGTAGCTTATTTCGAGAGTTTTCCAAAACACTATAATTAAGTTAGTTTTCATTAAGTACTTTTCGAGTTATGAGGCTTGAAATCGTTTCTTAATTTTACATAAACCGTCTAAAAATATCTTGTAAAATATTCATTTTTCGATTATCTTACCTTAATACTTTTATGTACTAAATAATGAGAGGAATTAATTGGTGTAAAGAAAATACATAGCTGTTTCGAAAAAAATAATTTGCAATTAATTACATATTTTTTTTTAAATAACTATGTTTTCTTTACACCAATTGATTCCTCTCGTTATTTTGTACATAAAAGTATTAAGGTGAGGTAATCGAAAAATGAATATTTTACTAGATATTTTATGGTTTATTTAAAATTAAGAAATTATTTCAAGCCTCATAACTCGAAAAGTACTCAATGAAGAAATACTTTATTATAGTGTTTCGAGATAAGCTACAAGAATATGTAATAAAAAATAGGCGGTTTCATTTAAAAAATTGAGGGTAACCTCAAATTAATAACACCATCTTATTTCTCCTTTAAAATCATACAACTTTTGTCCGAAACATTTTTTCGTCTCTCGCATATTTTTCAAAATATTTGCCTGTTGTTGCAAGATAAAAATGAATCACCCTGTATTACTGTTATATTACTGCTACGTCCATACTGTACGGGGTACAATTTAACTTTTTTTCAATTAATATCACACATGGCTCGCGATCGAAAGTACGAGGGATGAACGAGATTTTGGGAATATCGAGGCAGGGTGAAAAGCGGATCGAATGAAATTTCGCCGAAAGTGGGCTTGACCCGATTGCATTTTGCAAAGCTCGTCCCGATCGATCTCTCGCGGGATGGGTGTGACGGAATAAAATGCGAAATGCCGGATACGCGATACAAATGCAATCTCTATGAATTTATCGAGCCGTTATGAGGCGTCAATCGGCTCGGCCGGTCTTTAGGGTGCAACGAATTGCACCGATGCAAACGTCCCTTTCGAGCGCGGCCGATCGACGTGATTATTATTGAGCGACAACAAAGGCGCTCTAATTGGCACGGGGAGAGCGCAACGCGTGCTCGTTCACGGGGAGGAGGAGGGGGCGGAGCGGGGGTGGAGGAGGTTGTTATCGCCAGCTCGGTAATTAAGGCGAAAGAATACAAATTGCGGCGGTTGCGAGCGCTATTAAACGCGAGGATTGGCTCTTCGACGAAACATTCCGGTGCCGCTTTCTCGTTTTCGCGAAAGGCATTTAACGAGCTTCATTCATGGTATCGCCCGATCCCAGGATCCGTGAGCAACAGTCGAAGCATTTATCGAGCTTGATACGCTGCTTGTCGATGTAATTAATTAATGTTAATTATTAGAAATAGAGAGAGAGAGAGAGAAATGAATAAACACGGAAGTGAAAAAAATTCAAAAAAGCGCGATATTTTTAAATAGTACACTGAGGAAAAAAATTATCTTGAAATAAAGAAATTTTAGTTAACTCAAGAAAGTTATTTATTCGATGGGTACTAATCACGTATTTACTTGTATTCAAAACGTCTGTTTGCTTAAGTTAAGTATTTATTTACATCTG